CCCAGCACCCCTGCACCCACGGCAATCACTAATCTTTTTACTGTTCCTGTAACTTTGTGCTGGAGGGTTTTTAGATTCTTAGGAAACCTGACAGCCTTTGACATCATCTGCACAGATTGTTGCAATATGTAGGGTTTAAAACACATCTATTTTCTACTTTTAGGCCACATTCTCAAATATTACGAGGGAAAGGGGGATATTTGCATTGTCCAATTAGTTTTATGTGTCAGTAGACACTGAATTATTCATCCATTCACTCATTCATTCAACAAATCAACAAATATCTATTTACCTTTTATGTGCCTTGGCATCACACCGTTCCCACGTCAAACAAGAGAATTCCCTCTGGAGGGGACGGATGCAGTGAAACAAGTAAGTACGTGTGTGCCAGAGAGGGCCCCTGATGCTTGCTGACCACCACCTGTGTGCTGCGCAATGCGCAGTGCGGTGACCCTGAGACCCATCATGGCCTGTAATGCTCACAAGAGCCAGAGGAGAGAGGTACTGAGAGCATTTCTGTTTCAGGCCCAGGGAAAATAAGTGACTTGTCGAAAGTCTCACCGCTAACACACAGTGAAGGTGAACCCTGACCCATAAGCCTGAACACCGGTCCTCTGCACTGGGGAACGTGGTCGTCCTGGGTTCCAGTCCCTTGCTGCCTGCTCGACCTTGGACCTTACTGTCCCAGGCCTTCAGCCTGGCCCCTATTTCATGAGAGTGCCTCTCTCGTTTTTACCCAGAAGAATCTACAGCAATGCTGCCTTCTGGAGAAGCTGGTCTACCTGGACCTCCCATCTCCATTTGCTGTCTCTTCTGCCCCAGCTGTGCCCCCACCCTGAGGACAGTGACCGCCCCTCTGCCCTCCCCAGGCCCTGTCTGAGCTTGTTTGCCCCGAGCACGGCCGGCCCAGCACATGCCACCTCCTGTCCGGGGTATGTGGCTCTCACTCACTTCACACTAGGACTGCTCAGAAAGTCTCTGCCACACTCACGGGTCACCTCAGTGTTTTCTTTACTCTCCTTCTTTGATTTTCCTCATTTTTGTTTGCATAGCCCTCAACCATAATATTCCAGCAATCCTAAGTGTGAAGGACTTGTAGCTATTGAAATGAAGACCTGGATTGCTGTGCTGCTTCACACTATCCTGCCAGCAGCAGAGGTGCACGCGCCACGCTTGGGGAAATCCGGCTTGAGGCAGGCATCTTCCTGAGCCTGAGACTGCATCTCACTCGCCAGCCAGCCCCAGACCTGACACAGCTGTCCTCACCTGGTGGGTTTGTCCCCAACAAATGTTTGTCCAGTGAATAAAGCAATGAGTGAGTGAATCAGTGGGATTTTGGAGTCGGCCTCTGGGCTGCCATCAAAGCTTTTTGAATGTGTATGGAACGGGTGTCGATGACGCTTCGAGGGCTATTCTGGGTTTAGTGACATGTGCCAGATGGTGGTGCTGGGTGAGAGTGTGCCCTCCGGGGAGGGTGGCAGGTCCACAGACACGGAGTGGAACCCTGAGGACACGGGCAGCTGCCCACGTGGCACAGATTTGCAGGGCCCTGGAAACCCATCTGTCCCCACTGATGAAGGATCCATTCCTTAATGGGAAGCACCCCTTTCTACCTTTTGAAGTACAAATGTCTTTAATTCCTTTAAAATAAACTGACCTTTCATTCTCCCATGGTAAAGCCCCTTTGTGACTAGGTTTGAGGAAATCTTACTAAACACGAACTCCGCTCACTTTGCTCAGGGCTGGCACATGGGGGAGAGGAAGGGCGGACATGCTGAATGCTGGGAACCGTGCCGGGCACCACAGCAAGGTTTTACGCCTCGTGCCACTGCCCACCTTCATGTTAGAAGTGAGGAAGCCCAGGCTTGGGAAGGTTAACCCAACCTGAGATTGTCTGAGGTCATTCCAGCCCCACGTCGGTGGGACATAAGGGCCGTGTTCCTTCTGCTATCACATCCCACCTGTTCTCTTACAGACACTCACACCTACCCGTCTACACCTGCAGAAAGTCGTGAGTTTCAGGGAGCCCCGAGTGTCTCCCACTTATAGAGAGGTGCATAGCATGAGATAAAGAAGGTCCTTAGCTCATTGCCTGGCTCAGTAAGTAGTTCGATGATTAATAATCTCAGCTACCTTATCAGTGGTGGAGGGACACAAACCAAGGTAATTCCAGGGAAATCTCAGGCCCAGAGTGAGCATCGTGAAGTAATGATGTCTTAAGTAGCCTATTTGAGGACGCTGGCAGTCACTCTCCGTGACATAGGTGCCACTGAAGGTTTGCACAAACAGAAGACCGACTTGATTTATGGCTGGAAGGCTCCCTCTTGGCTTCTGTGTTAAGACTGGAAGGAAGGGTAGGCCTAGAAAGACCTACTAGGTGCTGTTTACTAGCAGGCAGGTGAGAGAAGCCGGTGGTCACAGTGGCAGGGTAGCCGAGCTGGTGGTGACAAGTGTTCAGGCACTCGCTACACCCTGAAGGTAAAGGCAGGCGGATTTCCTGATGCTCTGAACCTGGCTGTGATGAGAGAGAGAGATACCAAGGGTGGCTTCCAGGTTAATGGCCTAGAAATGAAATGGCTATAAGCCAGCGTCTTTCCTTCAATGGGTAGGTATGGAGGAAGAGATCTAGCCTGTTTTTCCCAAGGACTCAGAGATCCAGGGACACACCTGGTGTTGTCACCACCACGGTGGCCTTACCCAAAATAGCAGAACGTGCCCAAAGAGCAGGCCTGAAGGACAGGCTGCTGGGGGAGGGGCAAAGCCTGGCCACGCCCCACCCGGCCCCAGGCAGGCTCCGCCCTCACACCTGCCCCCTCCCCTCCCCTACCTGGAGGGGAATCCTGGGCCTCGCCCTTACTAATGTGTGTTTAGGAAATACTCTTTGTGTAACAGTCTCACTTGGAGCTTTGGGGAAGTGGTATCCATTTTCCGAGGGACACAGGCATTTGCCTTCCTCACTTTATCTCCAGCCCGCTTGCTTCCAGATGAATCTGGGGGACACAGTCAGGCTCGTGCGGAGGAGGAGGCCGCTTTCCGAGGGAGAGGCAGGCGGCCGCTTTCCGAGGGAGAGGCAGGCGGCCTGCACGCCGCAGCTGGGGAACTGTTTGCGGTGACTCTATTTTTAATATACATTGCTGACCTTAATGATGGTCTATTGAGATGAGGGCAAGAAATGTCTGATCAAGTGGAGATTAATTTTTGACTCTGTCGCCCAGAATGCATGAAAATGTACTCCTTTTTCTATTTAGACTCCCAGGATGCTTTGATTGATTGACTAGTTTACAAATGAAGGTGATAAAATTAGGTTGAAGACCACATACATTTCTTAAAATGAGGCTGGCTGGTCGTGGAGACAATGAGGTTTGGACAGATTGTATTGCTGGTTTAGGCAATCTTCTGAGCATGTCAAGATTTATAGACCTGTACTGTAATGTTACAATTGTAGCTCACTGATATAGGTTTCTTTTCAAATTCTTTCCCATTTTATTTGGAAAAGGCCATTAGAGAGTTATAGACTATTGAAAAAGCTTTTCCTTTGCTAACCCTTAATAAACTCTTCCAAACAAGGACTACTGCATTTTTATATTAAATTTAGATCAAAATCTATAAAACATGCTACCCCAGGTTGGATAATTTGATTATTATTATCTAAATGGAGTTATGGTTCATATTGGTTTCCAGTAATGTGCATAGTAAATAAAATGTAAGTTGAGATTTGTAGATGATCACAGGATACTGGGTTTTCTTTTTGTTGTTTTTTCTGTAAGCCCTTCTTTGGGGAATTTTAGCCAACTTTCCCTGAAATGAGAAATTAAAAGAAAAAAAAAAAAAGAGGTCCCTTTGGTGAAATTAATGCTGTGTTGAGCTAAACTCACATTGCTATTATTAATATTCACTTGTTCTCACCATCACAGAGGAAAGTAACAGTGTCTTAGGAGTCACCCAACTAATAAGATTTACCAAGGGGAGCAAAAAAGCATGAGAAAATACTCAGCAGAATTAGAAACAATTATTCCATTGTAAGTTATGATGTGAGAAATAATAGATGAGATTCTGAAGTTATTTATGAATTAGTCAATTCTGTTTCATACATTTTTGCCATCAAAATAACTTATGAAATCATTTTCCAGGCCCATAGCATTTTATGAGTGTTCTGTACTCAGTTAAAGATTTTCTTCCAGGGCTCTCTGAAGCTGCTCTGAATTCTTTGGCAATGCCCAGATTTTGACCTAACTTTGCCAACTCTGAGATCAAACCCCTGGAAGTGCCAGAACCTTCCCCTGTCATGAGGCTACAGTTGCACAGTATAGAGGGGGGTTCTAAGGATTTCACGAGTTTAGCGGGAAGAATTCAAAGGGGATCAGGAGAGTCCAATACAAAGATGTGAGAGCAGGCCTGGCCCCCAGTAAGGGCTGTGCAGGTCGTGACGATTATTGTCATTTATAATAGTTTTTTCACCGTGCCTCTTCCTTCCAGGGGCAGGACCAGCGCAGTCTGAGTCCAGAAGCCCAGCGGAGGATGCTGGGTGTCCTGGAATGAACCTCTCACTGTCTCTCTTTCTCTGTCCTTAGGGTGCTCAGCTACTTCCTGGGGTAAAATGCAGTCACCGGCACCTAAGCTCTCGGAGACGTTCACAGCTGTGGGAACATCGGTAGGCACCATTTTTATTCACTTCCAGATATCTGCCGAGGGAGGCTCACAAGGCCATTGCCAATGCGAGGGAAAGTTTTAAGGGGGCTTAGGGTCAAGTGGTTTCAGAGCCCAGCAGACGGCACCTCTGATTTAGTTTAGAAGCGGATGAACTTTGAAATGCAGAGCATCATTTCTGCAGAAGGTCGTCATATTTCTTGATGATTTACACGGAGAAGTCTGGGACTGTGTCGGCTTCGTCTTGGAGCCTCCAGTGCCAGGAGAAAATGTGCTGATGGAAGGTGTAATGCCGGGCGGCCGGTGAGGACTGCAGGTGCCAGAGGAATGGCCGACATGGGCCGGGTCCCTTTCTGAGGAGGCTTTCTGGGTCTCTTTCTGGGAGACTTTATAGTCTGGAATTTTGTAGAGGAAGGTGGCCCCACTGACTCTTACCTCCCTGCCGTAAGTGCCCGGCAGAAATAGGGGTTCAGGCTGCAGTGGGATGACAGGATGTGGCTTCCCCAGAGGTGGCTACCTGAGGGACAAGTGCTGTCCACTGTCCCTCCCTTGTCCCATGTGTAGCCCCCCAGATTTGAAGAAATGGGTCTGTAGTCTAACCCCAGGACAGAAGAGTGAAAAGGTGCCTCTGGGTTGCTACTGCTCGAATGTCCCCACATATTAATATTTTAGGGGTTCAAGGCCATGTCAGTTTCCTCAGTGACATCCTGTTATTTCATTATTTCATCCATATGCAAAAAAATACTTTTTTCCTATTTAATCCCATGGGGCTTAATGAGACTATTTTCATTTTAAATGAAAAGAAAGATGAAGTCTAGGTATATTTTAATTTTTCATGCCTGACTCTTACGGAAAGATTGCTGTCACTGTGGTGCAGGCAACTGGCCGAGGCTGAAGCTGGTCAGGAAAATCAGACCGAGTGGGAGGGGACTGAGTCCAGACTGAGAGCCCTGACGGGCTGAGGGCTCAGGAATGTGAGTGGGGTAGCGGCAGGGCTCCTCTCCAGTGGGTGGCTCAGTTCTCACGTGGGGTCTGCAGGGGCCCTGGTGTTGGAGGAAAGGGCCTGTCCCCTTCCAGCCCTCCTGTACACTGTGGTGATGCCGGCAGTTACAGAGCTAGGAAAGCATGTCCTACTCTGGGACCATGTCATTAGCCTATCGGTATCTTTCTAAATGTTTTCCAGAAAGATGCGAAATCTTAGCAACAGAGGTATTTAAAGGTTTGGATAAGTTTGAAACACAGCGATTTTTCAATCTTAGAAGCTCACCAATCCCGGGGCCTGATAGTCTACAAGTGTCTGCCATCTTTCTCAGGGTGTCAGAGAAAATCGAGTGACGGATCACTTTTTGGTGTCACTGCTCGAGACCAGTGACAATCAGTGAAATGATTGTGTCTGCCTCTACACATATCTATAATTGATTGCCTAAACCCTACGACTCTCTTTCCCCGTTGATGTGATGGAACATTGGAGTGAAATCACTCTGGATGAGGAGGAGCCGGGACCATTTGTTATTTACTTCCCGGCCCGATTCCTTCTCCCCATCCAACGCCAACTGTCCCACTAGAGCACATTATGGTGATCAGCCGGAATGTCTGTACAGGAATCAATCAAGGCGAGGGCCGCCGCAAGAGTTATGACATTACAAAGTCTGTTTGTAACTTTTGATTTATGGAAGATTTTCCATTTTATAAATTGGGAGTGAGGCATGTTGGGATGTCTTAACCCTTGAGTCCCCCAATAGGAAAATGCATCAAGCATCAAAGCTAATAGATAATAGGGCATTCTGACTAGGTAGTGCTGGGAAATGATCAGAGTCTTGCATGTTTGGCTTGTGACTTTAGAAACACATCTCCTGTCCTTCCTACAAAATAAAATTGGCTCAATTTCTGGATAGTAAAGACATGAAAAATTGCCATTCAGGACTGACACCCACAAACCGAGCTTTCTTCTGCCACAAGCCTGAAAAGCAACCAGGCCACAGTAGGGTCCTGAGAAGCTTCCACTCTCGGAGAGGGTAGCTCAGGGAAAGGACATCCCAGAAGCCAACTGTCAGGCCCACAGGACACTGGACAGGTCCTTCACCCTCCCCCAACTCTTTACAGAACTGCTGAAGACAGAACAGAGCCAGGTTGGAGCTACTTTTCCCACATAGACAAAACAGGGTGTCCTGTCCGTCATTAGTACCTGTGACTGTTCAGGCTCAGCAGTGATCGTGGTCGTAGCTCCGCAGGAGGCAGGAGCCCCTGTCAGCAGATCACACGTGCGTTAAGATTTAGGCCTTTCCTACACATCTAGCACTTCAGTCATTGTGAGGATCTCACAAAATGCCCCTGGCAGTCCCATTCTACAGATGTGGAAACTGAGCAAAAATAGGAAATTCCTAGTCCAAGAAGGAGCTGCTGGTTATTGACAGCACAGGGCTTGAGACCAGACCTCCCCGTCCTGGCTGAGCCGCCTTCATTCAACTGAATCCAACTGCGTCTGGGGCCCCGTCACACATGGGGCACCACACTGGGCATGCTCCCTTCCTGTCCCTCTTTCTCAAGGCCAGCCATCCTGACTCCCAAAGGCCACCGGCTGCAGGTTTTAGCGTCTGTCATTCTGCTGCGGCAGAAGCAGCCTCTGTCCCGCCCAGCACGGGGGTAAGCACACCCCAGCTGAAGGGCAAGCCTGGGTTTCCCCTGGTGGAGGGTGAGCTCAGGGAAGAAAAATATTTGTCCTGTCCCAAGGTCATGGATCTGCTTTTTCCTTGGCAATTGACTATATTACCTTGTGTGGAACTAAAGTTGTTTCTTTTTTTATTAGCAGGGTGGACCCATTCTGTTTAAGCTCCTTTTCCTTTTTTCCTAATGTGAATCTTACAGCTAATAAGAATGCAGATCCCCGCAGACCTACTCTCTCTCTCTCATAATCCATTAGGAACATGAGATTGCCGTCTCTGGAAAACTTAAAAAACCATTTAAAAACAAAAAGATGAATAAATGAAAATGTTATGGACCTGGAAATGTTAATTAAGCCATTCTCAAAGAACAGACTTTCCAGCCCAGATTAAAACATCCCATCACTTTTAAATAGTTAACATCTTTCTCCTTGAAATAAGTCCAAATTAAGGACAAAATCATTATAAAAAGAAATAGTAAAGGGACCAGAAAATGGTGCTAAGAACTTGGCTACTGACTGACATACTCAAGTCAGAGCAAACCAAGAAGGCCAAGGCCAGAAAGTGGGGTCTGTGTCCAGGCCTCTATGGTGACATCCTGCAGTGGAGTCTGTGACCAGACACTCTGTGGTGACAACCTGCAGTGGAGTCTGTGACAGACACTCTGTGACACTCTGTGGTGATGTCCTGCAGTGGAGTCTGTGACCAGACCTCTGTGACACTCTGTGGTGACGTCCTGCAGTGGAG